TGCTTGTGTCTGTGATTATGTCCTTTCAAAATCGGTGTTTGTAAAAATGCATGTTATCACTTACGGTTCACTTTTAGAAGAAAAGCGTCATTGTAGCAAATCATCCAGAAAGGGTGTGACTACCAAATCTCATTGATAATTTTTTCTCATTATTTCAAAGAGTCAGGGTATCCCACAAAGACTGCGGTAATTAAATACTCGAAAAGTTACCGGTCAAATATAATAATAATAACGATAATAATAATAATATTAGTAATAATAATAATAATAGACGGCCTTACTTATAACGAGTCATTCTAGATGGTCGAAGTTTAGCATCGGCTATTCTTCCACTTAACCCTTGTGTGACATTTGATGCTAGAAATTTATACAGGGTAAGTTCATATGACCCATGCTCCAAAAGTCAATAGATTTTTGTCTAAATGGCTTTATAGTTTACAACTTTAAGTGCTTTATATCGACCACAATCACCACAATCTTACTAATTTTTATAATCTAATCTAAAACGTTTTTAAATTGAGTAATTAACAAATGAATGGCATTAAGTTTTTCTAAGTTAAGTCAAAATTTGTAGTCAGTAAGTAAGTAAGTTTCATTAAATTGAATATTTAAAACACACAAGACAACAGCACGTCGGTCATCATCACTCTTATCGAACCGGCAATCGATCGCAAACGGTAACAGTGGTTAGTATGTTGTTTTGTTTTTGTTCGCGTACGCCGTCGTGTTGATTTACAATGTTCCCGAATCAAGAGTTCGCCGACATGTTGTTAGTTTATCGTGACAGATTTCGCCAACGGGTACACCCAGACAGGACATTTGTGCGAGTGTACCAAAGACTTCGAGATACAGGAGGTGTTCAGCCCACTAATACTCGCACTCGTGAAAGACAGGTTACTGTAGGGCAGGAGGAACAAATTTTAAATATCGTGGAAATCAATGCAGATATCAGCACTCGGGAATTAGGCCGCCGCGTAGGACTAACGAATACCATAGTCCATAGAATCCTAAAGGAAAATTTGCTTTATCCCTGCCATGTACAAAGAGTGCAGGCCTTGCTACCAGAATATTATCCTCGCAGACTAACGTTCTGTTAGTGGTTTTTGCACAAAAACATTGATAATCCGGATTTTTTTAGAGACGGGATATAAAATTTCCATAATACTCACACGTGGGCCCAAGAAAATCCTCATACCATTCGTGAAGGTTTTTTTTTTTTTTTTTTTTTTTTTTTTTTTAACGAGGGGGGAATGCATTTACGCACCATACCATAGCACGAGCTACGACGTGTGTGGGGCTCCAGGGTCTTGAGGAGATCACCTAATACCCACTAGACCCTAAACCTCCGCGTGGCCCGACTCATCAGCGTCTCGGTAGGCCATGTGTTGTGCGTGACCTGCGGTCTGCTACAACGTCTCCTCATGTGTTTCAGTCTCTGGGAACGCCGGGTTGGTTCCCTTTACCTCGCACATTCTATCGATGTCGTTAAGCGATCATCGATAGAGGGTCTGCTAGTTTCTCTTGAAACTCTTGTTTTCGAAAAATCAAGAGTTTCAAGTCCTCTTACTAATATGTTGTTCCTGGTCCTGGTCCTGAAGGGTCCTGGTCCTGGTGGGTCCTGGTAATGGCGGGTCCTGGTCCTGGTTGGTCCTGGTCCCGGTGGTTCCTGGTCCTCTGCATCCACGCCGTGGGGTGGGGGGGGAGCAGCCGCAAGTTCTCCTAGTCTCCTAGTCAAGGTTCCAGTTAGCGGGTGCCAACTGGGACCTCGGTCTGGGGTACCTGGTTCTGCGGTTGCGAGGCCTCTCGTCCGGATCGTAGTCCATGAGGAATCGTAGCTGCTCGTTCGGGTGGTCCTGAGCTTTCTCGAAGGTCTTCTCCGCTTTTTTCCTCATGTACTCGTGGATGGTATCCCAATGCAGGTCTCTACGCAAGGTTGAGTTCCTTACGTAGGAAGGTGCATTGGTGGCGATCCGGAGTAGCTTCATCTCTAGAGCAGCAAGTCGCTTGCGGTAGCTGGGGGCAGCGTACCCCCAGACTGCGGAGGCGTAAGCGAGCTGAGGTCTGGCGATGGCCTTGATCAGCCGTAGCTTGGTCGCTAGCGGCATCTGGCTGTGTCTACCCAGTAATGGATAGAGTTGAGCCATGGCTGCTCTGGTTTTTGCGATGACAGCTTCTATGTACGCTTTCCAGGTGAGGGACTTGTCAAAAACGATCCCCAGATATTTGACATTGTTGCTCCACTGGATATCTTCATCGAGTCGTGAAGGTCATTTCCAACAACGTTTTAAATATTTGGGCGGGTATTCTTGACGATCAGGTAATTGGCCCTTTCGAGTTACCCCCAAAGTTGTCAGGAGAAGGATACCTTAGCTCTCTAGCCAATAACCTACCAGAACATTTGGAACAGACCTTAGACAACATGCCATTACAACGGAGACAGAGTTTGTGGTTTCTTCATGACGGGGCACCACCACACATTTTTACAGGCGCCATTCAGTATTTGAATGAACATTATCCAAATCGCTGGATGAGTCGAAACGCTCCTGATCTTCTAAAGTGGCCAGCAAGATCTCCTGACATCAATCCGATGGATTTCTGGTATTGGGGAGAACTTAAAGGGATGGGATAAAATCATTTTGGGTTTTTCCAGTGTTCAATTTGAAAGCATTGTCCTTTGCACAATTATAGACTATTGCCAGATCCTTGTCCATAAGTGAGGTATTTGAGTGAAATGATAGTTAAATTTGGGTATCGTCGGCGTAGGTCATTATTTTGCAATTTTGGACAAATGTGGTCAAAATTGAGGTGAATAATGTAAATAGTAGTGGCCCTAAGACAGGATCTTGTGGTACGCCAGTTTGTATTAGCTCAAGTGATAAAAATTTCCCGCCGAATGAAACTTTTTGACGTCCAATAACTGAAGCACAACTTCGTGAAAAACATTTTAATGCAGCTGAAATAATAAATGGACAACTTCGAGGAGCTAGAGTAAGAAGAAACTGGATTCGTCGTAATGAAGCTTGTGTGTAAAGTGGATGACGAATTTTGAACACCTTTAAATACAAAAAAAGTGCAGTGTGGGTTTTAAAAAGGAAAACAATGTATGTATCAAAATTGTGTTCCCTATTTATAAGTGGATTTTTTTAATGCAGTGTGGGTTTTAAAAAGGAAAACAATGTATGTATCAAAATTGTGTTCCCTATTTATAAGTGGATTTTTTTAATACGTTCAATAAACTTTCACACACCAGGTGAAGCGCTGAGACAGTTAGCAGTAAGTCCGTTTTTTTTTATTGTTTGCATTTTACGAGTAAATTATCAAATATGTAATGAAATAATACCTAAGAGCCAAAAATCTTTATTTTCACTGCATTCCGTCGTAATCTGCGTCTGGCATTGCGGCGTTGTCAGATTTTATTTTACTTTAAAGTCGCTTTTCTCTAAAAAATGCCGTTTTGACCCCCATGTTATACGAAACTTTTTGCTTTTAACCCCCTCTATCAGCCATTTAAATAATGACTATCATAAGGTTTACATCCTGTATACAAATATGTACATATTCACGAAAAATGTCAAAATAAAGCAATGTAAAAGTTCAACACTGGAAACCATTACAATTACATATGCAGGAGACGCAGCGTCAAATTTAATTTACACTTTTTCAGAGATAATGAATCTTCTGCACAAGTATAAAGGTTTCTCGTTGAGCATTGTTTTATATAAACTTGAAAGCAATAAATACTTGGACAAGTCTTTAATACTTAGCCAGTTCATAGCAATGCTAAGGCCAGATGTGTGATCATATCTTGTTAGATTATTTATCAGACGGCAACTGCCATTTTGGATTTTCTGCAACCGTTTTGGTGTATATTGGTCTAGGCAGGGATAATATGATGAAATAACTAGTCTTTCACATACTTTTTTTTTTAAAAAACTTGATCAAAATGTTTTTGTTGGCATAGAGGCCTTAATGCTAAATAGCAGTTTTAACCAGAAGAGCGACGTAATCTTGAAATCGCAATTTTTCAACAAAGAGCAGCTAGAGGTATTCACACGGTTGGATAATTTCAACTGTGACTGGTTGATACAATTTTGCATGTTTTTCTTCGAAAAATTGGATTTTGTTTTTGGGTCGAATAAAATCATTTTGGTTTTTTTCAGTGTTCAATTTGAAAGCATTGTCCTTTGCACAATTATAGATTATTGCCAGATCTTTGTCCATAAGTGAGGTATTTGGGTGAAATGATAGGTATATTTGGGTATCGACGGCGTAGGTCATTATTTTGCAATTTTGGACAAATGCGGTCAAAATTGAGGTGATTAATGTTTGTATTAGCTCAAGTGATAAAATGTTTCCGCCTAATGAAACCTTTTGACGTCTACCAATTAAATAATGCCGAAAAAATGCACAGTCTTCTCAGAAAGTCCTAACTAGTTCAGCTTTCATAATAAGGGTTCGTGGTTAATTGTATCGAAAAATTTAGAAAAATCAAGAAGCAATAAAAGTGTAGAATAGCCTTTATGATGATGTTATCATATAGTATATCGATATAAGGGCTGTCTAAATACAGATTGTTAATATGGAAGTAGATTATTGTTAGTTAAATAAGTACTAAATTGAGAAAACATAATCTTTTCAACTAATTTGGATAAAACAGAGAGTAAACTAATTGATCGTAGATCACTGTAAGATTTGAGGGAAGCAATTTTTGGGACTGGAAAATATACAACGTATATGTGTTACATATTTTCGGTTAACAGGACAACTAAATTTTATCATTTCAGTAGAAATTCCGTTACACCCACTAGCGTTGGACTTTATGGAAGAGCATTCGATACTTTATTTTCGCCAGCTGGAGTGAATGAAAAATTTAAATCGTCCCTAAGATTATTTTTATTAAAATATTCAATTGATTCACGGTATGTCAAAGTATCATCTTTACGGACTGAAATAAAATAATCGTTGATTTTTTTAACATTCTTCAAATTATCTATAAACAGATTGTGAATAAGCAGATATATCCACACGCAGTAAGCCAAGTGTTTCATTCCTAAGTTGTCTAGAATTTTCCAAGTTTTCATTCGATTAGTCTAATTTATATTTAGTTAGTGCCTTATCTCTGATAAAATGGATTTCTCACTATAAGATGCGTATTGCACTGCGATATGTACCTAACCAGCGGCAGAGTAAAAGTAGTTCCCGCTTCTCGCGGTACTGATTCAAGGCTTACCGGTTTCGTATCCTCCGTAAATAAAAATTATAATGCATTTATAATATACCTGCCTTGTAGCTACGTCGCATAAAAATATATGAATTGAATTTGGAGCAACAGGCAATAAACAAATAATTATATTTGAACAATACTTGTGTTATCGTAAAGATAAATTCACAAGTGGTCCTAATGTGATTCAATTGGATATCTGAGTCTACCGTGAGTGAGTGAAAACGCAGCTACAATGAATACCAGTAGTGAAATTTTGACCCAAAGGAATATAGAGGTGAGTGGGTATACGATGCAAATTCTATACACATATGGAATGGATGAACAATATCGTCAAAGCAAAGTCCAAATGTTAATAAGCTGACACATATACCTCCTTCATTTTTGAGATATGACCTAATATTTTAAATTTACCTCAGTATTGAATATACCATGCAAGTGTCGAAGTTTTGATGCGAAATTAAAATTATTATCATTATTTTATCTCAGAAGACCGAAAAAGGTTTATACACTCTTTGGTGTGGTGTTTTGTTTTCTTGTCACTGAGTATATACATATTTAAATAATCCGCACATAAACTCTAAATATCATACAAATTGGGCCGAGAGTATTGAAACAATGAAAATTTCAGAAAAATGTATTCATGTACAATCACTACACTTGAAAACATAACTTTTTGTCAGAGAGTTTCTGAACGATTTGAATGAGAATATAGATTTGTATTAGTATTATGATAGATGAGCAAAAAACAAGGCTTATGACTCATTTTGGATTAGGTAAATATTGACTAGATACCCTACACCTTTGGGTATAAAGGGTTTTTTGGCTTATACAGGGTTTGTCCGGAAAGTAATAGGACTGAGTCGATTTAAAAAAAATTATTGAGCCAATCGTTACAATTCTTTAAAAACTTTCAAAATAGGCTCCTTCTGTGTCGATGCAGCGCTGCCACATCTGGGCTGTAGGGCGGCAGCGGAAGCGTTGGGATGCCAGCCTTGGTCAGGTAGCTGCTCACAAGAAAGGCGGTGTGAGCCGGGGCGTTCTCGTGGTGCAACTTCCAGTCGGCTGCGATGTCTTGTAGGACCCGACTGACCCTTCGTTTGAGTCTCCTGAGCACTTCCACGTAAAACTTGGCGTTGACGGTGTGTCCAGGAGGAACAACATGGTGGACGATGCCTTTGCGGTCAAAAAAGACAATGAGCGTCGTTTTCACTTTGGATTTGCTCATTCTTCCCTTTTTTGGGCGAGGAGACGCCGTCATGTGCCACTCGGAAGATTGCCTCTTTGTCTCGGGATCATACTCAAAGATCCACGACTCGTCACCTGTGATTACGTTATTCAAAAATTGGGGGTCACTTTCACACATGTTCAAATTTCTTGGCACACTTCCACTCGCCGCAATGTCTGGTCGTCAATGAGCACTTTTGGGACCATCTTCGCGCACACCTTGCGCATGTTCAAATGCTGTGTCACAATGTCATGAACCACAGATTTTGGTAAATTTAACATCTGGGCAATTAAACGAATACTTAGTCGACGGTTTGAGTTCAAAACTTTGAGCATACGAGTCACATTATCGGTGTTTGTCGAAGTCGAAGGTCTTCCCGGCCCTCCAAAAAGGCGCGGTGCCACCGAAACACACCACTTCTTGCTAAAGCAACACCTGGCTAAGCCTGCTTGATCATATCAAACGTCTCTGTCGCAGATTTACAGAGTTTCACACAAAATTTAATCGCGTACCTCTGCTCTAACGAACGCTGCATTTTCGGCTTGCACCACTCACAGAAACACGTCGCGCCAAAATGCCTGTCCTGACTCTCCAAGTGCTCGGAGACAACTGACCAACCGCTCATTCGTTAGCTAGGAATGCCCTCTACTGAATCCAGTCGGTGCGCGCACGCTCCGTAGTACAGTCATGAAGGAAGAAAATTAGTCCTATTACTTTCCGGACAAGCCCTGTATATACAATTAAAATCGATAATATCAAAATCAAGTTGTCTGGAGATTTTCTCCCTGTTTGTCAGTCACTTTATTACCATAATGAACTCATTCTTAAAGTTATATTAGTTATTTAAATAACACAAATCGTATTATAAAAAATTTGTAAACTTTTGCATTTGTGTTGAAAGTAAAATCTTTCTAAAGTATCTTTTTTGTAAAATAATTTACAATAATGTCTTTTGGGATCGTAATATTAGCGCACTTATTGTTATAGAGTGTTTCAAGCTAGCTTTCTGGATATAAAATATAGTAACCTCGTCACACGTGTTCCCTCGCTAGAGTCCGAATGACGGCTTCTCTCCCCTTTCCCCTGTTTCCACCTACAGCCCCACGGTACCCACGGATATTTGGGCCTCAGGCGTTCATGGTGCAAGTATAAGCAAAAATAAAACGAATATTTGGTAAATAACACTGATATCATACTACATATTTGCATTTTGATAAAAATTGCAACAGATACGATTGCAAGTGTAGGAGCTTCCCCGTCCAAAGTTTGGGTAAACAACCATAGTTAATTATGGCAGCAAATCAGAGCGTTGGCCTTTGAATTAATAGATAATAAAGATAAAATTAGTGCAATTAATATGTTTGGTTTATATATAAACGCATTTTTGCAGACATATTTATTGCAACTATTACAAATAGATAGTACCACTTACTAGAATGACTTCAGCTGAAGCTTTTATGACTGGGACATCACATAAAGCAACTGCTTAACGTATTCCCACCAGATTTAATATATAGCATAAATAAATTGTTTGGACATTGGATGTTTAAATGAATGACTAACATTTATATCAGAAGAGTGGAAGATGACACCTACTTGATATACCCGTTCCGAGCACAGTACCGAGCTACAGATAGTAAGGCTGGTGGAACATGCAACCAGAGCTCAGCATGAGTACTGGCATCTTTGGTTTTGGACGACTCCAAATCCCTCGACGAGGTGTGGTACGCGGGCACCGTGTATAAACTAATACAAAAGGGCTTCCCTTCTAAAACTACTGAAATCTTCCCGTGAAGGAAGGAAGTTTCGGAACAAAATCAACAATGACTTGTCAACAACACGGCCAGTACGGGCTGGTGTTCCTCAGCGCTCGGTCCTAGGACCAATCCTTTACTCGCTTTTTATCCACGACGTCCCTTGCCCCAGCAACTGTGACGTCTACCTCTTCGTTGAAGTCACTGCACGTGTTGCTCAGTCGTGTACTGGTATGTGGTTCTCTATGGGTTGAAGAGTGCGGTGGAGGTAGTGCTAGAGTGGGCGGAACGGTGGCTGATTAAAATTAATCATTCGAAAGCGTATGGAAAAATTCGGCAAGTATCTCGGTGTCACTCTTGATGACAGGCCAGGCATCACCTAGCAGAAATATACGAGTACAGCAGCGTTGAGAACGAAATTCCAAATTGCGTTTCGGCTACTATAACCGTTGTTATGTAGGCGCTTCAAATATACAAAGTTCGAGTACATAACATGATTATTCGACCAGCCATTACGTACACGTGTGCGGCTTGGTGTTTTCTTGCCAAGACACACGTGCAAAGTCTTCAAGTACTGCAAAGCAGGACTTTACGAACAATTTGCAACGCTCCATGGTATGCCTCAAATGAGACACTACACAGAGATCTTGACATTCCTTACTTGAAGGATTATGTCAAGCAAATATGTATTGCGCGAGATGCTGTTTTTAAGTAATAATTTGGTCGTTTGCAATACTTGAAAGCAACACTTGCTTGCTATACTGCAAATTTTATCTATGTTCCTTGGGCATACCTTCATATCCCTCAAAATTCAAAAATGTTGCTTATTTTTCCATTCAAGTCCATAGGCCAGTGGAGTTCTGTAATCGCGAAGTAACTTCAATTGGAAGAATAATTTTCAGATATAACAGAGTAGGTACATTTTTTGTGGCGTTCGTCAAGTAATGCTTAGCTCTTTATTATAGACAGAAAAATATTTATAGTTTTTGTCAATGGTTCTGTTGCGATAGACATAGAGCAATCGTAAAAAAACGAATTAACCATCGCTCTTGCTATATATTGGAAAGTATTATTGAATTTTGGAAGGCCTGTATAATGGTACCAGTATTAAAATCTAAAACCCTCCCAATGTTTGACTGTATATTTTTTTATTTTTCTGATGAACGCAATCAAAATTTTCCTTAGAAGAGACAACATTCAAAAACGAGTCAAGCTTTGTTGATATATTTTAAGATTTAGTCAATACTTTATTTGAAAGATTCAAAAATTATGAAATCCAGAAAAAATCGATACTTCTGTATAATTCCAACACAGCGTTGAAAAACCGGGAAACTGTTGTTACAGTATGTTATCAAGAAACTTCAAAACTTATTTGAGCAGGCTAACCACCCAAATGTGAACCCCGCTGAAGAAGAAATTGTACAGAAGGATTTATATGTATATCATTTATAGTGAATGAAAAGGCCTCTCAAACCTCGAAACAGAACATTTTGGGTAACTTTTTTTTTATCAAACTCCAAAGTCTATAGAAGAATTGGGAAAGGGATGAAAACACCTTCAAAATGAGTATGTTGAGTTTGTTGCAGTTAATTGGTTATATTGCAAAAAATCGTTCATTTTTGCATAAAAGAGTAAATATAAAATAGTCAAAAGTTGAAGCCTTTGTAGTGATTAACATCGAAAAAATCTTCAAAAATGCTTTAGCTATCTAGCGAATATATAGAAGAATATGTGCCTAGTTTGTTCTAGAATGATTTGAAAAACAAATTTGTCATAGTTTCACCATTGTGATCCCCCAAACGCTAAGGGATACAGGTCCGTTGCGTATTTATATATTTTATAAAATGCATTTGAAAAGTTTTGATGCTTTCAGTATCTCCAGGGTTACACGGAAAGGGAAAGGAATGTTTCCAAAATCGTTTCTAATTTTTCTGAATTTGTTTGAGATAGGATTTCAAAATAAACTGCACATTGACTTGCCACTTTTTGATCTCTGTAAGGTGACAAATAGAACATGAATATGTGTTTTCGTCTCTTATCTCCCGTCTCAACTTTGATTTTTCTTATGTTTGCCATTTTTGCATAGGTGGGTAGCTTTTAATTTTGATTCCAAATGTCATACAGTATTGTGAAAATTGAGTAAGCCTTAAAATTATCATTAGCTGTGTATTTCATCAAATATTAAAGATGATAACATGTTACGCATTGATATAAAACTTCAAGTGCCTTACTTTATATAGTTAGTTTAAACTCATCGAATGAGGAACAACCTAACGTAAGTCATTTATATTATTTAAGGGTAATAATGAAGACATCGAAAATGGTATAATTTTAAAAAACAGAGCTGAAACGTCAGATCGAAATTCTAATTATGCCACCATCTAGAAGAGAAATAGTCCTAATGTTATTGCGTAATTTGTTTGAAATTTGTAGACAATGTAGATGATTGAAAAGTTTTGTTTTGGACTACTCTCAGGAAAAATAGAAACGACGAGTAAATTCGGAAATACTTTGAATTTCGAAACTGTCCAAGTTTCCTATTTTTATTTACCTACTTGCGCCCATAAAGTACTCCGTGTCGTTTAGACGAATGTCACAAGGTCAGTATTTACTGTGATCTGTGAATATGTTTATAATGAGATGTGATATTTATTGACCTTGTATAATGTGTATATTATTGCATCCGTTTTTTGGAATGCAAAATGGATATTGTTAATACTTTATCTGCAGACAATTAAAACTATAACAGCATAGTATAATTTTAAACTTTTTGATAAGTTAGATGGATAAATTCTGGTGAAAAGATCTTCCGTCGGGACAATCCACTTGCTCAAAGAAGCATCCTAGTAATGGCAAAAATCAGTCAATTACATTTCGAGTTGGTTGAAGACCCATCCTATTCACCAGATGTATCACCTTCTAACTTTAATTTGTTTTAATGCTTTTATAAGCACGACTGATGAACCCATTACTGCCGTAGACCAGTGTTTTGATGAGCGCCGAGAAAATCACTTCAGAAAAGGTATAGATCAAATAAAAAAACGCTGGAAAATGTATTGAACTTAGGAGAGATTATATTGAAGAATAAACACATTTTACTACTTCTTCATGTAAATAGAGTACAGAAACTTTTCAAATCACTTGGTAACACGGAATGCATGTAGCTTGAACTCTCCCACAACTTCATTCCTAAAGTCCAAGTATTGGAATTAAGTTTTCAGAGGAGGAACTAGAGACTACTTAGATTGTCGCTTATTCCATCTATTTGATATATATATATTTTTTTTTTAATTTCAGACGCCGCCAGCCACTCTAGGAATAAGTCCTGTGAAAAAGATCAACGGACCTGTTCTCGTTCCCTGGGACCGGCAAAAAACATACAGTTTTATATGTTTGACAATTTGCTTTGTAATATGGGCATGCGTCTTTTTTCCATTGATAAAATAGTTTTAAATGAAATTATATCTGGAAACAACTACTACTGTCTGTTTTTTGTGCTTTGTATATAATAGAGTACATGTATACGTACATATTACAGTGAAAATGTTGCAATAAATTATATTAAGATGTAATTATCATCAATCAGCACATAAAACTTACAGCTTAGACCTCTAGTATTGCCATCTCTGAGGTAGATTTTACATCACATCAGAGCCGAACATTGATAACTGAAGCCTCATGACGTTTAGGCAACACGTACAATTACAAAACAAGGTCACAACGTGTCTTTCAGCTAGTGCTAAGTTAACATCTTGTAGAAAAACCAATATGATGTCAAAAAAAAATCGGCATAATGTCACTTTTCAAGATACGTAATACCCGTGCCGGCATAGCGCGCCGGGTAGCCGTCTTGCTGGTACCACGTCTCTGTAAATGCTGGCACGTCTTCCAATGAATTTGGTAAATGTCTTAATAAATTCCGCCATTTAAGAATCCCGCTCCACTTTGTCACTTTACAACGATACTGTGATCTATCTTGTCTCATCAAATGTGGATTTTCTACATGCCACTCTTGTGCCTATTTCACGAGTATCCATCACACCTTTGACGTCTACTGAGGTAAACAGCTGATCAGCAAGCGACATTTTTGTGTTAGTCTGCAACGTTGGCTATAATGAATCTGGCAAACATTTCTTTGTAGCGTTTTGTTTTTTGTTTGCAAATGAACTTTTATAAATAAAAGAGCTTTTAGCAAGTACAAAATGAATCTGTAGCGCACAAAAAAACAAAACAAAATATGGCTCTGTCTACCTGGCATTGACGGATCCATCAGAATTATGTGTCCTTTGTCGATGTGGGGAATTTTGAAATATTACTAGATAACCAGCTGTCATTCTACCGTGATGGATACTCGTAAAATAGGGTATACCCTATATATAAGTTGTGTATATTCATGTAGCCATCTTTTTTAAATGACGACTCAACCATTTTTCTTTTTCTCTAAAAACCGCGGAACTTCCCGGTGACTCAGTAACATTGTTTGACACAATTTAACTCTTGGGAGATAATACCGCGGTTGTAGAGGTTGTATTCATTGTACGTGGTACGCGTGGAGCTTGCTTCTATTTGATGTACTGAAGTAACCGGGTCTTCTTCGACTGCATATAGTATGACGTCCTCGTGAGGAAAGGAAATTCTTCCTTCACCATGTGCTTGATTTCGGAATCGTCCCTTTGAGAGTAAACGGTGCACATTCGCAAAAACTCGGTGATCGGGGTGACGAGCAGCATTTGGGTACCCCTCACGATAAAGCCTAGCAGCAGCACTAGCATTGCATCTACATTCCCCATGAATGAGGTGCATGTTGGCTATGTTTGGTGTACACAGACATGGTGGCACTACACAATCATGAATTAACAAAAGTGGCGTTACTATCTGAGTTGCTGTCACTACGTAGAATGACACTGTTTGTCACTCCATCTAAGAAAAAATTGAAATTTGTAGTAATTGGAAGTGAGAAAGCACCACAGGGTGTAGATTTTTCCGATTTTTTTTAAAGCCTATAATTTGAAAAGTACACGACTTAAGTTTTTTAAAATTTTCTGATAACTATTATGACTTGGCCTATCCCCCGGCTTGACGTCTATTTAATAGCTGTTACCCGCACCTCGTACGCTCAAAATTGTTAATATAACTAAAACTTTTAAATTAACGTATTAGGTTAATGCAAATTTTGCATTGCAAAAATACCTGTCTAGTCTAGTTAGAAAAAGTGAACATGTGTGAAATTGTAAAGGTAAATATGTATAAAATTGTGAGAGTCCTTAAGCCACGTTTCGCCCATATCACAAAATCCGATACGGCACTGTCGCAAAATCCGTTCTTAACTCATATCTACTATCTATAAACTACTTCACTGTCAAATGATAGATCTCTAGTACAGGAGCACAGGATCTTCGTATAAACGCTTATGGTAAATGACTTTTAATCCAGTAGTGTCGAAAAAACACTCTTAGCTGACAATCAAGCTACGTTTCTGTCCCTTTAATCCAGCCCTGACGTAAAATCCATTCTTAACTGATATTTCCTGCACATACCTAGCTCTCTGACAAATTCCGTATTCGTAGGTTAAATAGTTTTCTAGATCCATACGGGTTCCCCATAGAAATATCCAATGCCTCCTGACCCCATCTTCAGGATAAAATTTCCATTGTTAATGTTTTTTATTTGAAAGATTAGATTGTAAACAAAACCTATTGCTACTTTTAGGTTGGCCCAAATTAAAATATTCTAGGTTCTTCAGCTTCAATATTATTAACCTTCACTTCACCTTTTAGGGGTGGGACATCCAAAATTTCTTTGAAAGTGCTCATTTACATTATACCAAAGAACCACATAATATATAGAAAATTCATCTTTGTAGACCTAATAGAATACTTTTCCCATAGTAGCTTTCATCCCATATTTAAACCACTTAAGGGGTGCGGTGATTATTTCCTGTCATTCTCCTCGTAATAACCCTAAGTTTTTCGTAATTTATAACTTTGAACATAACCTATCTTCAGAAAGGACAATATATAAATAACCCATCGGGCACAGCTACTCGTAATAGATGTAATTCATTGGCAGCATATTCAGTAATGATTTTCTGACACAGCAAATATCACTGATTTTACGAGTATACACATGCGATCTTGCTATTCAACCAACTTTCTTCTCAGAGATAAAAAGTACAGACCACTCGGCTTCACAAAACATACGCAACCAACAATGCGTGTAGTTGAGTGATTCCTCCATAGATGGATGTTCACAACTATCCTAGTGAGCAAACGTGGAATGACTGTTTGCGTCCTAAAAACTACATAGTCTGCAAGATTACATCTTATAGTTTTGTTTACGTTTTATAGGTTTTTTACATAATACCGTGCCGTTGAGTTAGATAATTATCATGTTGCGGAATACTCGAGCAGATGGCCCATTCACCTGACTTAAATTCACTCGATTTTTTTACTGGGGAGCGGCAAAGAAAAAGTTTACGCAAAGCCACTCGAAAATTTAGCTGAGCGACGGGACAGAATAACAGAAGCAGCTGAATTTGTTAATAAAATTCGCCCGTCTAATAATATTTTTAAGATGTCAAGCTTACATTGCTGCTGAAGGAAGGCATTTTGAACATTTATTGTGAATTTAATAAATACATTCACGAATTGATAAAAGCGGCGTTACTATCTGTCTTGCTGTCACTATGTAGAATTACACTATCGGTCAATCCGTCTAAGAAAATATTGGAATTTGTAGTATTGGGAATTGAAAAATCATCACAGGATGTAGATTTTTTCGATTTTTCCGATTTTGTTAAAGCCTATAATTTGAAGTACACAAATTAGATTGTTTTGTATTTTCTGATAACTATTATGACTTGGCCCCGTTTCCGGCTTGACTTTGATTTCTAGGACACCCTGCATATAATTGCAAAAAAACATTAATGGCAATATTAAGTACATATTAAGAAAAGTTTCTTCAAGCTAAAGCAGGATATAATATAGAAGAAATTGGGTTCAAGCTTTCGTGTGCAATGATTCAGATCAATTTGATGATGAAATGTGGTATATTGACTTTCCAAGAATCCTAAAAGTAATAAGGCTGGAAATGGTGATGAAATGCTAGCCTGTAGCGAGGGAATAATAAAAGTACAGATGTATATATAATGTCATATGAACTGCTTAAGGAAACATGGTATGTTTCTGATTACCCAATATTTGTTTCCCTTTGGTACTTCACTGCCGAATGATTTAAGTGAGCAAGCAATTTCTCATGAAAGGATTTTCAGAAACGAGGATGGAAAGTGCATCGCTATTGCTGTGAAAACTTCAGGTATTCTGTATCGTCTGCTAATGCGAGAGGTAGTTCCACAGAATGCATGTTTAGCTTCTCTTCTAGTTGAGACTTGCAAAAATAGTATCAGCGACTTTGCCAGCAGAACGTGACACGTGAGAGAGTTTCGGGCATTTCGGTATTAGAACCTGCAAGTGAATGTTGCGATGAATGCATGTAAAGAAAAAGAAAAATGGCAAGGAAGTAATTTTTATCTCGTTAGGTTCGTAGAGAGAAACTGGAGGATATTATACATACATGCAGATTTATGTGGGCTTCTGTATGTGGCAGTTAATATTTTCTCACAACAGAAAAGGAAAAGTATATTTTCTAAAAAATAAAACAGAAGACAGAAGTGTACAATAATGTCTATCAGTATTTGCTTATAGCTAATACAGCGGAAACTTTTACAAATTAGTCAATTAGTCATATTACACCGTTAAAGCATTAAACTTAAATATAACATATGTAGATATATCAACAGAAGAGATGCTTGAAATACAATCGTTTGTCTACTTTCCTACTAGTTTGTCTGAGGTAATTGAAAGGTAATAGCAAGACTTCTGACTTTTGCAGTTACTAAAAAGCGGTGTTATATATTTTAGTGGCCTCATGTACATGTAAAGAATGCTGTCTTTATCAGATAATGTCCTGGGGTTGCGCACAGGAGATACGTTTCCAAATAAGTGTTTAGGTGAAATATTTTTTGAGACTTTGAGAACAGGCAGTTCAGAGGATGTAACAATGGTAAGAAAGAGAGTACAAAGGAAAAGTACCACGTCCTATTATAGATATTCAAATGATTTAGGCTTCACTGAAGGAAATGTTGGGATGAATTTTAAATATTTTTTCACCAAATTACTGATTAATGATATATATACAGGATGTACTTAAACTGAAAGAAGATTCCGCAACTGGAAATAGGTTACATCATGACCTACCGTCTGTCAAAATTTTGTTGAGCCAAAAGTCTCATGGTTTTCGGGATATAGATATACAGCAATCATTTAAAAAAAAATCAACACCCGTCAAGTTGAATTGTTGGCATTTCTACCAGTAGATATCAATTTTTTAGCCATGTTTGTTACAAAATATTCATCCAACTGGGTGTTGTTTGTTTCTTATGTTATTCCAATGAAAATTACTCTAATGCAACATTTTAATGAAAACTAATTTGTACGTCTTACTTTATGTGTCGGTTCTTGAAAAAAAAATAATTGTGCGAAAACCATGAGACTTTTGATTACCCAAAATTTTGCCAAACAGTAGGTAATAATGTAGCCTATTTCCAGAAATATGTTTTATAATTCAGGGTATTTCCGGTTCATAAAAATTAATTCGTCTTCTGCCCAAACTGTGAGCATTTATTGCTACAACAGTTAGTGCTTCAATAGCATTTCAGTTAGACGCAACAGTTGGGCTTAAAAAAAGTAGAGCAGATTTCTTAGTAACTACTACGGAACAGCACAGTATTTGAAAGAAAAATGTGTAAAAATAGGCGATGTTAGAGGAATTATAAGCATGAATTCATATGGCCCTGTATAAGGGATAATTGACAATACGTCATATTTTTGCTCGAAAGTTTTCAAGTTTTTCAATAGAAAATCCGATTTAAAAACATGGAGATAGACTCTGGAGGTCAAAGTAATGATCCCCCAGCGTCTCCGGTGATGAATGGACCCGGCCAGAAGGAGAGAACAGAAATTACCATAAAATCAAAGGAATTGATGACACCAGCTGTAGCAGACGAAAAGGACAGAACCTGATCATCGAAAGCCAGGCCCAGCAAATAAAGGAACTGACTGAGGCAGTTAGGGACCAAAACAGTAAAATAGACTGCCTGACCACCCAGGTAACACAGTTAATCAATCCAAATTTCAATTCTAAATCTGACAAGACTGTCAATTTAAAAAGACCTCTCGAAAATTTAACTGACGAGACATCGACCGACGATGAAATATAGAATGACGGATTCATATACCGGGTGGAGGGTGGGCTCGAGGGAACAACATCGAAGATAAAATTTGTTTTTCGAACATCTGCGGGATCAACAGCAACATTGATGCTGTTCATCACTACCTGCAATCCAATCGTCCCGCCGTGCTTTTCTTGGCGGAGACAAAAATCTCAGAGACTGCACCGATTAACCATCTCAACTTCCCAAACTACGAGGTGCACTCCAATCTGAGAAAGAACGGGGGAGTTTGTGGCTTTTGTCCGCAGCAGTCTTTCCTGCTCCAGGGATCTTTCTTTGGAATCAGACCGGAAGGACATTCTGTTTCTTCGCCTCAACTCCAAAACATCACCCAAATTTATTTGCTGCCTTTATCGCTCTCCCTCGAACCATAACTGGGATGACCTACTCGAATACCTCGCCGTCCAGATCGACTTCCTGAACATCAATCACCCCGCTTCAGAGGTAGTTCTTCTCGGTGATTTCAATGCCCATAATGAGCTTTGGTTGGGCTCAAATAAGACCGATGCAGCAGGTCGTGCAGTCGAAGCGTTCGCTCTTACTCAAGGGCTGACCCAGCTGGTGACGAGCCCTACTTTTTTCCCCCGCGTCTCGTCACACGCCAGTAGCCTGCTAGATTTCTTTCTGACCACGCATCCTGCCCCTTACAGCACTGCTGTCCTGTCCCCTCTGGGTAATTCAGATCACGGTGTTGTGGAGGTTAGGTTTCGGTCAGAAGCCGCTGTGGCAGCAGAAACTCGCACAGGCCACAAAACTTGCCATTACGGACATGCCGACTGGGAGGGGCTCAGAGACTTCTTCTCTAGCTTTCCTTGGAGAGATGTCTGTTTCACTGACGCGGATGCGTCGACTGTCTGTTCTTCAATAACCGAAATTATCCACGTCGGAATGGAGGAAAATATCCCTCACACAGTGAAAGTTCCTAAACCAGGGTCCAACGGCTGGTTCAACAAATCGTGTGACACTGCTCGCCAGCAGAAGATCAAGGCCCACAGAACCTACTTACAAAACCCCACTGTAGAGAACAGACAAGCCGACGTCGAGTCCAGAAACAAATATAACGAAGCGGTTCGCAATGCCAAAAACCAGCATGATATAAAAGTTAGGCACAGGGTAATGTCGCAGCGCAATGGCAGTCGGTCTTTCTGGACGCTGGCCAAGCAGATTGAAAAGAACTTCTCACACAGTAGCCTTCCACCACTTACGTGTCAGGATGGAACTATTGTATTCGACTCAAAGGCCAAGGCGGAAGTGCTAGCCAAGATCTTTGATGCCAACTCCACCATGGACGTCCCCACCAACGCCCAAGTGCCGTCAATTCAAAGGGTTCCCCACACTATGCGGGAAGTAACATTCAGGCATAAGACCGTAAGACGAGTGCTCTTGTCGCTCGACATCAACAAAGCTTCTGGTCCGGACTTGATTCCTGCCATTGTACTGAAGAGATGTGCAGCGGAGCTTGCTCCAGTTCTTTCGCGTCTCTTCCAGATATCTTATGAATCCGGCACCTTCCCAGAAAACTGGAAATTTGCTCATGTACAGCCCATCCCAAAAAAAGGATCTAAAACCGACCCTTACAACTACAGGCCTATAGCTCTGCTTTCTGTTATAAGTAAAGTGATGGAGAGGTGCATAAATCGCGAGCTTATGGACTACCTCGAACGTCACAGCTTGATTAGCGACAGGCAGTACGGTTTCCGGCACCAACGAACCACAGGGGACCTCCTAGCTTACGTCACGCAACTGTGGAGTAAACTCATCCAGTCTCATGGTGAGGCTCATGTCGTTGCTCTTGACATCACGAAAGCGTTCGATCAGCTGTGGCACACTGCCCTCTTAAGCAAACTTCCATCCTACGGCCTCCCAGAAAAGCTTTGCAGATGGGTGGCTGACTTTATCTCTGGCCGCAAGATATCCGTCGTAATTGACGGATTCTCCTCTTCATCCCACAACGTCAACGCGGGTATTCCCCAGGGATCGGTCTTGGCTCCAACACTGTTTCTCTTACATATGAACGACCTCCTTTCCTGCACGATCAACCCAATCCACAGCTTCGCTGATGACAGCACTCTACATGCAGGAATTCAGAGTGACAAGCCGATCTCTGCTGCTGAGCTGGAAAAAAGAAGACTAGCGACGACTTCTTCTCTGACAAGAGACCTGGAGGCTATCACTGCTTGGGGACGCAACAATCTTGTACAGTTCAATGCTTCCAAAACACAGTACTGTACCTTGACGAACAAAAAGCGTCCTAGCGCTCATACAGTTTCGATGGACGGTCGAGTTCTACCAAAGAGCCATTCATTTCGGCTGGTCGAAGTCCAGATCACCGAGGACCTGATCTGGCACGAACACATCTCTTCAATAGCTGCAGCTGCTGGGAAAAAGCTAGGCTATTTGTTTAGGGCTAAGAAGTACTTTTCTCCGCATGACCTTCTCACTCTATACAAGGCCCAGATAAGGCCTAGCCTCGAGTATTGCTCACACATTTGGGGTGCTGCCGCCCCGACTACATTGTCCATGCTCGATGCTGTCCAGAGGAGGGCGGTCCGACTGATCGATGACTCTTCTCTAACAGACAGTCTCGGGACTCTTTCGCACCGGCGGGCCGTCGGCGATCTAGCTCTTTTCTATCGCTACACCAACGGGTTTTGCTCCTCAGAGCTCTCTTCCATGATGCCGCCGCGCGATGCGCCTGCCAGACAGACCCGCCTGACTTCGGCATCCCATCCTAACCGTGTCAAACTTCGTACATCCAGAACTGGCCGATACGACCGCTCCTTTGTCCCGAGGGTGTCTAGATTGTGGAACAATCTACGGGAGGAAGCTTTTCCCAGTTCTACTAACCTTAGGCAGTTCAAAAATCGTATTAACAAAATTTCTTTGGGATCATCATAGCAGCCGCGGTGTTCCGGCATTTAGGCTTCTGCCTGCGCGGCTGTTTCGATATAAAAAAAAAATCCAGGCCAAGTCTAGGAAAAGACGCATCGACAAAACGAACAAAACCGACAAGACGGATGACTTCCCACCTCTTCCAAAAGCAAAATCCAAATTCAAGTTGACAGTCCCCTCAAAACCGTCTGCTTCATTAAACATACCAACTTCTTTTGCCACTTGTCCAATGACGGTCGATGCAGCGACCACATCTTCTTAATCTTTGGCCACTGCATCGACTGACGGTGCATCATCTCAACAATCTCACGTTGCTGGTGAGTTGACCAGCACAGCACCCCGCCAGGGGCGAATCACGCCCATTGTTTTGCGTGATGCGGCCAAGTGGCGAAATCTAAACTACACCTTTATAAGCTTAGGCATTAAGATAGAACGCGCAGTTGCCGTTGATGCGGGAATCAGGATTTTGCCAAAAACTGAGGATGACTACCGCAGAATCGTTCGCCTGTTCAGGGAGGAGGACGTGCCCCATCATACGTTCCCTCTTCCTTCAGAACGAAATATTCACGCGGTAGTCAGAGGTATACCCGGAATGTTTTCGGAAGAGGAGATCAAAGGGAAATTATAACAGAGTGGATATACTCCTCTCCACATTATCCGACTCAAACGCAGTGGCGGCGCACCCATGCCATTGGTGGTCGTGATACTGCCCAAGATTGAAAAGTGCCAGCAGCTGATCAATGAACATGAGCTGCTGGGTCTAGTAATCAGAGTTGAAGTTCAAAAGAACTCTAGACTTATTGGGCAGTGTCACCGCTGCCAAAGGTATGGTCATGCGCAGTCTTACTGCACAGCACCTCCCAAATGTTTGAAATGTGTT